TATTAAAATTGTATTTACTTACCAACAAATAATGTATTCGTAAGTTTTAGCGGGAAGCCATGGTCGCGAGTATTTCGAATATGACAGTTTTGCGTATGTTCAAGTAAATGACGTTTTATTATAATGTGTTGGTATTGGTTTTTAACTTTTATCAAATCATTTTGATATGATAATGTTTAATATGATGATGATGATGGATAATGTTTAAATGTGTTTATATTTCCTATATTAGATCATGGAAAATTGATTTATTGCTGATTGTGATATTTGAATAAACGCTTAAGCGTCTATATTCTTTGCTTCTACTATTGACGTTTACATTCTGGAACATAACTACGGATCTGGTGCCATGTAGACCCCATGTAATTTCTACTTATAAATAGTATTGTCAACATTTTTTAAAAATATGACAAATTATGTTCAATATAATTTCTTTGATATATTTTGCATTAGTGTATTAATTTTTTTTTCATAATATTTTTCCAAATTTTTAGTTATTAAACATATTACAAATTACATGTCAAAATATAAGAAATAATGAAACGGTTTACTAAAAATGTAAAATATACGAAATATGAAAAAACAAAATAAACCCCCCTTATAAAAAACTACAACACCCAAACTATAGCAATTTTGGAATTCAAATAAAAAATTACTTTGCACATTCTTTACAAATATTAGCTTTACCGTTATCACACATTGATATCTTACAAACATCACATGAATTCTTAGTCTTTTTTCGTGGATAGAGCCCACATCTTTTTCGTTTTTGGTTCATATCGGGATGCACGTTTTCATCAATCATCGGTTTGTTCAGTATTCTACTGACGTTCATTCTCAATTCTCTTGGAAGTCTTTGGTTGATAATTCTTCTATTCAAATGTCGTTCAACTAGTTGTTTGGCGAACGTAGTAACTCTACTTAAATTATAAACTGCACACTTTTTATCCAGGGCATCTACGCCCCCTTTGGTTTCATTATAAAAGACAATCATTTCAGGTTTGCCAGCTTTAACATCAGTGTATTTTTGTTGATGCATCGTAGAAACTAAAAGTACAGCGTTGCTTTTCTTTGGAACATAAGACACAATTGTAATATAATTAGTAAAACCCCAGATACAACTCCCTACTCTCTTCCGGTTGGGCAAAAATTCGGTGGGAATTTCTTTCTTGTTCTTATTAAGCGTACCTACATACGTTAATCCTCTTTGTCGCAACTCATTTGCAAGGTCAATAGAGGAGAACCAATTGTTTGCAGTTACATTTCTGTTGGTATTCATAATAGATTAAATAAGTTTTACCACGGATTGGGTTGGTACAGTCAAACGTCTTTCTTCATCTGTTAATAATTTGCCATCGCTGCCCTTGCCGGTATAAATATATTCATTGAAAAAATAATGAGTACGGGCTTCAGTAAGAATCAAGACCTTCAGACCATACTTGTTGGGTTTATTTGGCATGTACATGAGAAACTTTATATGCCCCCCGAAAACCTATGAGCATCTCATCGATACAGGTGTAGAATGTCATTATCGATTGGACACCTCCATATTTGTAAAGGCGATGCACTTTTGCCCAACTGTTTGGCATCACCACGAAGTCCTGGTAAATACGAAAGTAAGTTATGTTTCTCTGTTCTCGTTCTCTGTACAAAAGCTTAAATCTATTTTTACCATAATAACTCATTTAATTTTTAACTTCTTCATCACTTTCAGAATCGGATTTCTCAGACAAGTCACTACTAGCTCCCTCACTATCATCTTCTACTACCGAATCTGTATCATGCTCACTTTGAACGTCATTTAAAGAGCCACCTGATTCTTCCATATCGCTAACCTCACTTTCTACTTCGTCTTGCCATGCTAACAGAGTTTCATGTACGTTTACATCTAAATGTTACTTGTCAGTAACATTTCGATGTAAACCAAACACTTCGCTATGACAAACCATTTCATTTATTATATTTTGTAGTTCTTGTGCATTGCTTGCTATTAAGAAAGTATCATCAGCGTACCTGATGTTGTTTATGGTGGTTTCGGTAATCTTGATTCCACCTTGAACCTCGTTTAATGCTTTTCTGAATATAGATTCCAAATACAGATTGGATAAAAGTTGTGATAAGACAAACTTGTCGCACTTCTCGTCTGATTCGTATATCTTCGGATGTTGTGTGCTCTATTTCAATTGTTGCTTTTTGGTGCCAATATAGTTCTGAGATAATTCGCCAGTCTTGTTCGTCAATTCCAGTTGTTCTCAGAATTTCGATCATCTTTTGATGGTTAAAGCAGTCAAATGCTTTTCGATAATCAATTAAACATGCTTGGGTTTACAAATTTATAGTTTCTAATGAAATAGGTTGACGAGGGGAGAACTGTTTGTCTCAAGTTGGTGATTCAGAATTATATGTGTGTTTTTTAATTTGTTGATTTCCATAGATTCTAACAAAGATAGCTTAAGACCTTTATTTTGAATGTGAAGAATTTTTTAAATTTGTCATTAAAATAATGACTAGAAGGTGAAGTGCGTATGTCGAATCTGATTTTCTATTCTTGAAAGCCCTTTTATGTTCTGCTATTCGTTTATCAAAGTTTCTACCAGTTTGACCGATGTAAGTTTTTGGGCAGTCGCCACATTGAAGTTTGTACACACCACTATTTAAGTGTTTTTTATTTTGGCTCTTGTTATTTTTAATATATTTGCATAGGTTGTTATTTGTTCGGAAAGCTGGTGTTATTCCTTTCTTTTTTATGTGTTTGGCAATTTTTGTTGTTATTTTGCCTGTATATGTAATTGAGCAGAAGGTACTGGGTTTTTTCTCTGGTGGTGGAAATACTAATTTCAGGGCTTTCTTGTGTAGTTTTTGATTTAACATTTTATTAATTGTTTGTTCGTTGTATCCGTTGTTTAGTGCTATTTGCTTAATTATATTTAATTCTGTCTCAAAGTTGTATTTTGACATCGGAATTTCTGTTAATATATGTAACATACTATGGTAAGCTGCCAGTTTATGTTGTGTTGGATGGGATGATGAATTGTGTATAGTCGTGTCAGTATGGGTAGGTTTATGAAATATGGAGAAGTCATGTTTGTTTTGAAGTCTGCTAATTTTTAAATCTAAAAAATTTATGTATTGATTTTTTTCTGTTTCTATTGTAAATTCAATATGACTATGAAGTGAATTAATATACGATAAAAATTTGTAAACCCAAGCCAAAAAGAGATCACTTGAGAAAGGCACTCAGACGAAACAGCTGTAGTGAGAAGATTTAAAATAAATTTTGTGGAAGTTTGAAAACAAAGTTTTCAGTGTTTTATTGTTACATAAAATGAATTTCCATCAAGTAACGGTCGAATCCATCAATTAATTAAACATGCATATACATATCCATTCACGTCTCTACATTGTTGTGTTAACACATTTAAGTCAAAAAGAGCTTCTCTCAAATCCAAGTTGAGTGTTACTTATCTGAAACTCATATTCCTTGTATGAGATATAAATGACTTAGAGGTTGTATATTGCCTACATCTGTAACACATATGGGTGAGTGTTGAATGTTTTTTTATCTTCACTAATTCCATGTTAGTCGCATCATCTGAGCCAGCAAAAAGTTAAGGTTGGTGTAGGTGCTTTAAGCCAGTATTCACTTATTATTTATTGTTTTAGAAGTTTATCAGCTTCATTTTTTGTTTTTTTTTTGTGAGATTGAACAGTTTCCCATTTTTCCTGCTGATTTTCATGGGTATCTTATGAGCTAGTGTTATTTTGTTGTGATGGTTGATAAAGTCCCACATGGAAAACTAATCGATATCATAAAAACATCAGGACTCGATGGTAAGGATATAAGACTGATCTAAAACTTCTATCTCCAATAGAAAACAACAGTACGATTAGAAAATGAGCTCTCCGAGATCTTCACAGTCGAAGAATGAGTTAGACAGGGTTGCATATTGTCACCGGCATTGTTTAACATATAGTCTGAACATCTTTAGAGAGGCTTTGGACGAATCAGAAGATGGGATTGCTATAAATGGCTAACTTATAAACAACATTAGATATGCAGACGATACAGTGTTGCTGGCAGATAGTGCGAGGGGCTACAAAAGATGATGAATAACGTTGTAGAAACATGTAACAAATACAGCTTAAAACTAAATTGCAAGAAGATAAAACTAATGATCATTAGTAAGAACACTGGCATAAACGCCCAATACGAAATAAAAACTCGTATTGAAAAAGCCAGAAGCTCTTTCGACAGCCTTAGGAAAATTATCTGCAACTTATCTTTAAGTATCAATATACGCTAAGAATTCTTAAATGTTACATCTTTAGTGTCCTCCTTTATGGAGCACAAAGCTGGAGCCTTACAGAGGATGCCATAAAACGATTAGAGGCGTTTGAAATATGGTACTACCGACGTATGTTGAGGGTCTCATATATATACCACACAAGTAACATACTTATTCTCCAGAGACTAAGAAAAGACAAAGAAATTATTAACACCATAAAAAACAGAAAATTGGGTTACTTCGGCCACATCATGCGTAATAATAAATACCGACTTCTACAGTTGATTCTAAAGGGCAAGTTTGAGGGTAAGAGATGCCCTGGACATAGACGTATATTCTGGCTGGCCAATCTTAGGAAATGGATTGGTCTAATGTCAACTGGCATTTGTGCCATAAGGCACATTTTTTAGAAGAAGGTTGATAAAAAGAAGAATCATATTTAGAAAGAAGAGAGTTACCTGGTAGTTCGTGTTGAAGATTGTTAGTCGACTCTGTCACTTGAGACAATGTTGTTATTCAGGTTTTATTGTTTTGTGATTCATTTGATGCAGTTGTATTTCTTGATCTACATATTTTTCATCTTCTGAAACTAATGTTCTATTTAATTGAAGATCTGATTGCTTTATTTTTGTATCAATAACAAATTGTCTACATCCTTCACGATTTGCACATTTCCGTTCATTCCTTATCACAATTAAATGTTACATACATCACTACAAGTAGTTTGTGGAATGGGAATGAATTTATTTTCCGGTGTTTTCGCGTATAGAAATAGTACTTGTTTTATTCTAATTTATTTTCTGTTTCATTCTTCATAGCTTTGACGCATATTGCAAATTATTTGTACTGAAATTAATTAATGTGACTGTCTCCAGTAAAAGTTGAATCGAAGCTCAGTTTTAAGTAAGTACACAACCAAAAACTACTTAGGTAACCACATTAAGTTAACAAATATGATTTAAAACAATTATTTAACAATATAGAATAAAAAAAGTTATTATAAAAACTTGTTATTTTATACTCTTATTTAAATTATTTGTTGAAAATAATCATTCACAAGTTGGACCTCTGTATGGTACAGATAAACAGTCATCTACTAATTCTATAATTTCATTGTATTTTAGACTGCAAGGCCATGGGAGATTGCATTTGATCCAGGATGAATCATAATATAAAACAATAAACAATACTACAATATGTAGAAACTTTAGAAACTACGCCGTCAATTCTTATCGGTACAAGTGATTCACAGGTAAGATAAACTTACCACTCAAGAAAAGGGGGACTTTTTGGCCAAATATATTGGTACGGCATTTACAACTTAGGTAGGTAATAAATCTCCCTGGAACAGGAAAAGGCGCAACCCTTTGAGTACCGATAAGAATTGGCGTCATAGTTTCTAAATTTTTTATTATATATTGTAGCCTACTGATTTATATGTGATTCATGTTGGGTCAAGTGATCCAGTAAAAATGACCCATGAGCTTGTAGTCTATTTCACTGAATCATCGCGATTTTATATTACACTAATCTTTTCTAGAATGTCAGTGTCATTTATATTAAAAGTATAAACAGATTCGGAAAGTGCAAAAATTCTACAGTGACGCAAGTTAAAATTTATTTAAGTTAATTTTAAACAAAAAATAAAAAAATTATTATTTAAACATTTTAATAATTTATACAGAGTAATTGCACAAGAATTATCTCAATATCTGCCATAGTTTTTGGGTTATTTTATTTAAACTTTTACATAGGAATTTAGCTATGCATGAATAGCGAGGAACGTATATAAATATATATTATATCTGTACTTCTAGCTCTGTCCCATAGTGTCTTAACATCAATTTTTCTAAGTGTATTCATTTCTGCTGTTTCTAAAATCCTTTTTGTCCTCTCTGTGTCAGGTCTTGTTTTTGCCGCGTATGTCATTATTGGTCTGATAACTGTTTTGAAAATTCTGTCTTTCGTTTCTTTACCGATATTTTTATTTCTTCATATATTGTTTCATTTAGGAAGCCTGCGGCTCTGTTTGCTCTATTCACTTGATCTTCCACTTCGGTTTCGAGCTTTCCGTAGCTAGATAATGTGATGCCTAGATATTTAAATTCCATCACTTGTTCTTATTGTTCTGAAGCTATTTTTTGTGGTATTTTAAATTAATTACTATTTAACTGGGAATAAGCCACAATTAAAGGTAAAAATACGTTTATTGACGTTTCAATTTCCACTTCGGAAATCGTTCTCAAAATACAAACAGTAAATTAAACAAATTTTGTTTTTTGTTACTTAGTGAAAAATTCTTCTAATTTAATTTTATCTGACTCATTTATACTGACAATTTAGACATACATTTACATTATTTATACATGACAATTTAGACATACATACATTATTTAAAGTAGACCACTTTAAAATTTATTTACGAATGTGCTATTAAATAGACAAAATTGTGATGGTTCATTGGCAACTAGAACAAGACTAAATAAACATATCCGCTATAATGGAGTTATTAACATTATGTACTGATAATACATATTTTCAACTAAGTAATGAATTCTATAAACAAAATTTTGGTCTAGCAATGGGCTCTAGTTTATCTCTATTATTAGCCGATATATTTATGGAAGATTTTGAAACAAATATCATTTCTAAACAAAATTTAAAACACACAGTATGGTGGAGGTATGTAGATGATATATTCTGAATATGACCTCATGGATCAGAGTTGTTGGACACATTCCTAAATGATATAAACGACAAAGAAGGGACAATAACATTTACCATGGAAAAGGAATATAATAACACGCTACCTGTCCTGGATGTTTTAATCTCTAAGTACGGTACTAGATATGAGACTCAGATGTATAGAAAACCAACACACACCAATAGATATTTAAATTTCAAATGAAATCACAATATTAATATAAAAAAGGGAATAATTAAATCCTTATACGGTAGAGCCAAAATTACTTGTTCTAACGAAAATTCGTTCTTGGAAGAGAAACATTTGTTAACATCTGTTTTATTAAAAAATGATTATCTTTTATCGTTTATAAATAGGGAATTTGCAACAATCGATCGAATAGAACAGAACAACTTAGAACGAGATCCTACAGCATAGACAAGGAATCTTCTTCTTCTTTCAGTGCCTATTCGTTCCGAATATTGGCAATCATTCTGGCTATAATTATTTTATTAACTGATGCTTTAAATAGATTCGTTGTTGTTGTGGAGAACCATTTCCTCAGGTTCTTCAACCATGATATTCTCCTTCTCCCAATTCCTCGCTTTCCGAATACTTTACCCTGTAGGATTACCTTCAGTAATCTGTATTTAATGCTGTTTCTCATTATATGTCCGAGATATTCCAACTTTCTCCTTTTAATGGTATACATCACCTCTCTTTCTTTGCCCACTCTTCGTAATACGGTCTCGTTGGTTATCTTGTCTGTCCATGATATCCTTAGAATTCGCCTGTATAGCCACATCTCGAAGGCTTCAAGTTTTTTCTCCATTGCTTCAGTTAGTGTCCAGGATTCAACTCCGTAATACAATATTGAGAAGATATAACATCGTAGGAGCCTTACTTTTATCTCCAGATTAAGATTGTGGCTTTTAAAGAGTTTGGCCATGTTATTGAATGCACTCCTAGCCTTCTCTATTCTACATTTTATTTCCTGTGAGTGATCCCATTGTTCATTTACTGTTGTTCCAAGATAGTTATACTGTTTTACTCGGTCCACTGGTGTACACACAAGGAATAATACAAGGAAAATAACAATACCGTACATAAAAGGATTATCAGAAAAACTTAAAAGGATAGGAAATAAATTCAACATTTCAACAACATTCAAAACAACAAACACGTTGACCACAAACGACACATACACCCGCTCCTACACGATGGCAGCCTGAGGTACCCAAGCCCCAATGGACACAGCCATTCTTTAGGCCAAATCAAATGCCTTTGCAACAACAGCCATTCAACAATAGTCCAAGAGGGACATTTCAAGATTCCCCCTAGATTCCAACAAAAACAACAAATCACCTAATATGCACAAAATTCTACAACTAACCAACCCAATTTTCATAAACCAGATCCATCTCAATCATATAAGCCAACACCTATTAGCGTATTCACACGCCAAACCGGCAATAGACCCCAATCTCAAAGAAACTTCCGCTTTCAACAAACAGCCAGGCCCCGATTCACGGTAGGAGAGCTCTTTAATATCGAACAACAAGAGCAATTATGACGAAGGTATATAGACACATACCCAGATTACTCTTACTATGAATAAAAAATCCAAGAATATGAGGACAAAGATGTAAATTTTCAAAGATTTAATGTTAATAAAGACTTTTCTATCTTACCAGAGTACGACGGCAATCCAAATGAATCACAATTTTATTGATGTTATTTCCATGCTTCTAAACCATTTTTGGGATCATACAAATCCCGAAAATATTTAGAAGCATATGCTTACACGAGGAATTATGAAGAAAATTAAAGGAAGAGCCAACATTATTTCTGTATACGGCTGTAAATACTGGCCGTCAATGAAATCAGTTTTTGTCAAAAATTTTGCAGACCAACGTAATTTGTTAATGTAATTTTAGAAGGTTATTGTGTAGAAATTCCAATTTTTTCCGAATTTAACTCAAATATTAACTTAAAATTTTATATTTGCAAAGCTTACAAGACATTTGATGGTCTTAATCTTAAGGCTTCTTAAAGCAAATCTCGATTCTACCCAAGCTACTCTTACTACAGCGCATTCTATTCTTCCTATTAATTACTATGCCACAAGTAAAGCCCAATTCTATATAGTCCACCAAGAGCCCTAAAGAATTATACAAGTCAAATTTACAGTAAAAGAACCATCAGGTAAAATCGTCATCCAAAAACAAGAAGTCGAAGGTGCCATCCTAAGAGAAATTCTCACCGTCGCATATAATCAACTTGCCTGGACCGAGCTAGTCAATAACACCGATGAATATATTCAAGTAGCAATAACGGATCCCATCAAAAGTCAACCAATAAATCTAAGAGATGTCGATCCTTTCCTAAGAACCGATCATTTTAATACAATAGAAGAATATTACCGAAAACGACAGTGCAGGAAGTTTGCATCATGCATATTTCATTATTCAGACGTCAGTTAACATTTACTAATCAAATAAAACATCATATACGAACAAGAGATGAAGTTCCGGTTTACACCAAGTCAAATCGGTATCCACACATCCATAAGGATGATCGATCAAGAAATCATCAAACTGAGACAATTGCCCTGGTCGTCCCCAATGTGGGTCATTCCAAAGCAACCAGATGCCCAAGAAAAATTAAATGGAGAATAGTTGTCGACTACAGGAAGGTGAACAAGAAAACCATCGATGGTCTATACCCAATTCCAAATATAACAGACATTCTGGACAAACTAGGTCGCTGCAAATATTTTTCCACCCAGTTGTAGCCAGCGGATTACATCAAATTAAAATAAAGGAAGAAGATATTTGGAAGACTGTATAACTTAAGGGAACTTAACTGGAAGACTTAACGTTGAAAATGGCCACTATGATGCCTGAGAATGCCATTCGGACTCAAAAATGCACCCTCAACATTTTAGAGAGTAGGTAATGGAGAACATACTAAAAAGACTTACAGGCGAAATATATCTAGTCTGCAGGGACATTTTCAACCTCACTTTAAGAACATATGGTAAATCTTAAGAAGATTTTTGAGAAATTAAGAGAAACAAGATTTAAAATACAAGTTGACAAATGTGAATTACTTAAGAATAACTAATGCTTATATTATAATATAAAAATTATCACTAATACGTTACGCAAGACTATTGTTTATAAATACTAAAATAATTAACTAAAAACGCCTAAATAGG